TATATATATATATATATATAAATCGAGATGGGAAAAGTTGTGGATTTATTTGACAATTTAAACTTAAGGCCGTTTGATCGTCGGGCCCCTGAATGCGCCAATGCTCGACACATAATCGCCTCTCCACATCACAATTACCGCGTTAATGTCATTGTACTGTTAGACCTGCTTAAAGGATACATAGACCCTTATTAATAATAGGGCGATTTTAAAAGCACCCATATGGCATGTGCATAAAGCTGAACAGCAATGCGTCCACACCACCTGTTGTAAGTATATTGCGGCAAGTTCTTAGAACCAGAAGGTGAGGTCCCTAATTTTTCTCACTCAAGGACATGCATAACGCCCCATCTAAGATCAGCCAGGGAGAAGTGTTCCGGTTGCGTGCAGTTCCACTTTCTGAGGCCAAGTAGCGTACCATAGCATATTGGTATGGAATAAGATAATTTTGATGAATATACGTATATGGCGGTGGGAGTTTGAATGGTTGTGCGCCTGCGTTTAAAACAGAAGTTTTTAAATGAATACAACAGAAATCGAATTATATAAGTGAATGAATAAAAAGATGGTTAGATGGCTGGTTGGATGGATAGATGGATGGACCAATGGATGGATAGTTGAATGTGTGGACAGTTGGATGGATGAATTAATAAACGAGATGTGATTTTTTATTTCTTCCAGCTTCATTGTTATATTCGACACAATTTTCAATTCTCGGCATCGTAACTTTGCAGTATTCCAGCATTTCGAAACACTTATTACAGTTATCCTACGAAGGCGGCCTAGCTGCAAAAGATTAGCAGTCGCTCACTTACAAATTATTGTATTATAAGCGAGTGACCGACTAAAGAGGATATTCCAACGGCGAAGTACCATTAAAACATCTAGCTATTGCTGAACAAACAAAAGACATGTAAAGTCCCATAATCGATTATGTGTTTAAATTTAAACCAGTTTCCAAGGCGATGTGCGGATACAAAGTCGTTAAGGTAAACTTGAGAAAAGAAATAACGGGAAATTGCTAGCAATATTTGTCAATTGTATTTCTTATGACGCACAATAGCAAGCCATACTCATAGGTAGAATGCTAGCCGTGGCGGAAGGAAACGACAAAATAGAGGAGAAAGTTCCGCATCAGTACCGTCCACCTGTACGCTACAACGTCTTGCAACACAATGGAACTTCGCATGCTCAATCAAATATCTTTTATTTCACCATCCATCCCTTCATATTCCACACACAGCCATTCTTCTTCCATCTGTCCGTCCGTTCGCCCGTCAACCTACTTAGCCATCCATATATGACACATCCATTCACCATATTCAACCATCTAATCACTCATACACCTATTCATCCTCGATCCTTCATTCCATCTTCATATTCGATCCAAATACACCCATCCTTCCGTCCACCTACAGTACTTAACCAGCCATCCATGATGAAGACACCATTCGACCATTTAGCAAGACACCCATCCATCTATCTGTTCAACCATAGAGAAGATAGAACCACCCAGCAACCATTTATCAGTCCACTCACTCCTCACCCATCCATCCATCCGTCCGTCCGTCCGTCCGTCGATAGTTCGATACATTTGACTTACTTACAGCATACACACATGAAAATGTAAACATCATTTTGGTACCGTACCAAATAGTCTGTCTAAACTTTTAATATAACCAAGGTTGATACGGTGTTGCAAGATTAAATAGGCCTAAAACTATTTACATTACATATTAACAAGGAATCGCTTGCATGCGTGGTATGATTGGCACACCCACAAGTGTTCATTCAATTATAATGAGCCTCCATATAAATGTAAATTTATCATTCATATTTAATTTCCTTTACAAGTCATCTAGCAAGTACGTAGGCCTATATTATACATTCATTCAAAAAAATAAATGGGAAAATTGTCGATATATAGACCCAAAACGCATTTAATTCAGTTCTAATCTGAAGGTGGTATTTCAGGCAATTATAGATAAGGCCTACGTATGGTACGTGACTACGTGATTACTGGTATTATGTAGGTATATTTAAGAAGAATGAAGAATTTTTCAAAATCATATAGGACTCAATTGCGCCTACGTAGCATTACCGAACGTTGGTGAAGGCCTACACACGAACAGGGCGCAATACGCTAAACCCCGTCCCTTGAAGTGGTGCTAAGGTACACTTGCGTGTTTGTGGGACATGTGCGTAATCCTTGCTATTAACTCAATCAATCTGTATATTTATTTACTTAAATAACACGTTCTGGTTGGCTATGGTTGTTGGAAGTTTGACTCCAGGACGGTTTAATAATAAGAGCGCACATGTAAACGTTGAGGAAATTGCCGAAGAAATACTGCAAGCCCTCACACGACTTTACAAATAGTAGTGTAGGCCTACGTAAAGGGATAAATGATATCAAAGACCATTATACCACCCGACAAGGATCCACTCTGCCACTCAGTGCATTAAGTTATATCTATTCATTTCTGGTGGTGTGCATCTACCCGGTCACCTCTTAAGAACTGAATTATTCGTCTCGAATTTCAGAAACACTATCAGATAATATAATGCCACATACGGTTACTACGCACTTGAACATGCTCTTTACTTTAAGGGATTACGACGGTTGATATTCAACACGAACTAATTGGTTTCCAGACAATGTAAACAAGCGACATGTACAATACAATAGAAAATGAATGCACGATACGCGATTCACGTCATCTTCGCATCAAACGAGGCGCGATATACTTACGCATCAAAGTAGTGACACTATAATTTATACATAAACGCTGTAATCTTCCACCAAGTTATGCATGAAAAAATTACACTTCTATTTGTGTACTATAATTATGCAATATTCACACGTATGATGCATGATGCACGTAGTCACAGCGGTCACAGTATACGTCGCTAATTTTTCGTGCGTGCGTTGATGACACGATGTTGACGCGCTGATGACGCACCAACCAAATATCCAAAGGACTTTTTCTGCCTTCCAATAAAATGTCATTATACTTACCGTATGCTGTCAGATAGCTTTCTTACACATTTTATTTAAGTGAAAATAACACGACCACGGGCAAGAGTCAAATATAAATTCTAATATGCCTTTTATTTTGAAAATGCAATAGAAACCTTTTAATTTGTCAGAACGAACTAGGTGGAAATCAATGCAGACTTCTGGGACACAATATGAACAATTTATACCATTTTAGGTCTATAAGGCATAGTTCAAAGATAAAAACAAAAGAAATAGAGCTTATGCCATAAAATGTAGATAATAATATATCATGATAATGATATTATCTCATCGCATACTATACATGATGATATACTTGAGATAATTTCATCCATAATTGATACAATGAATCTTATTAATAACGAGTTTCTAAATCTAGTCTATAAACACTAGGCCTATCAAATTTTGTAACAAATTGATTTACCCATACAGTACAGTGGTAATGTATGGCATCATCATGCCCATATATGGATGTAATAGGCCTATGACATCATAATGCGCATATATATATATGTCTCTTATACACATCTAGATGTGTATAAGAGACAGTGCATACACCGTCCGAAATATATATATTATATATATATATAGGCAAGAGTCACACAAATGTATCACATGAAACGTGGATAGAGCTTCATTCGGCAGCGTTTAGGTTACTTCTCCTTTAAACTGTAATAAGAACCTTCACTTTGTTAAAGTGAGAGTAGAAGCCATTATTCGTGTATTTTATTGCCACTCTTCAGCGCGATGCGATACGTGCGAGAAGTCTGAAGTGCCTAGTTGAATACAAAACGTGTAACGCTATCGCTGATTAGCTAATAGCTAGTAATGCACCTAACCCTATCACCTCGGCAGGTGATAACTGGTGCGCAACTGCCGATATGCAATAAAGGTGTTTCTACAAACAAAACCCTCGATAATCCTCCTCATACATTTCTGTAATCTGTTCACATTTATAATTTATGTCAATCAATTACGCTATTGATTTTCGTTTTGTGATCTGCGGAGTGGCATCACGGTTTTCTCTATAAACCATCAATACATTATGTCTCATTAACATCTAATTGCGCACTGTTAGTTCGGCCTTCTAAATTAGACTCAGGGGGTAAATATGAACGTCAGCACTGGCATCGTGACAGTGCTAATACGTAGAACATTTAAAATAGCTTTAATGCATAGAATACCTATATCATTTTTACTAGGATTATAAGTGCCTGTATCCGTGCTACCCAATTATACCCACACCACATAGGCATACGTACAAATTCATCGTGCAACAATGCTTATTGAAAATGCTAACATCCTGAGTTCCCCATTCTATGATTGACTTGAGACACCACGTAGCCCTGGGCGCGTCCGTTAGAATGAACAGAATACGCGTTTGACGTCATGACATTGGACGGCCACTTTAAAGGCCATGGAATCAGGCTTACGTAAATAGAAGAACATGAGCTGGACATTTAGTAATCATTGTACATGTTTAATATGCTACCGACGTCAAGTGCATGCATAGGTGTGCATAAGTGGACGAAAGCATGAATGTGGACAGAACCGTTTAAAACAAACCGTGTGTAAACCGGTACGGGTTTCTTAACACCGAAACTTTAATGGGGGAATATGATGTGCTCAAATAAAAAGTTATTAGCTTGTATTCTTGGTGAGGACACTGTGTTCACGTGGTCTCCAAACTATCTATTCACAGCTCAATTTAATTTTCAAAAAATACTTAAAACGTTAATCTGTAAACCAAACAGCATGTACTGTACTATATTTATATGATGTATATAAATTAGTAAATATACAAGTAAATGGGTGGTAACTTATTGTTTACTCGAAATGACAATCGCGACTAGGTTGTCATAAACCAAGGCTTCAACATAGTTATATAGTATTGTTATATATAACCACTCACTATAAATTTTAGGTATTTTAACAGACTGTTTATAATCCCTAGCAATGATATACCGATAGATTATCGTATTATACTGAACACTACAGTACATGAATAATCAGACGGTAAAGAAAGCTAATTGAGTTTAAAAGGTTAGATAATGTTTCAAAACAGATTGAAACAGAGTACGTGCAACTACGTCACCGTCGCTGTTAGCCAATCAGCTGCCGAGGCTTCCAGACATACGTTTATATAGATGAGCATATTCAAGTTGTCTTAAAGTATATACAGAATTCAAATGTTATATAGTTACGAAGGAGTACGTGATTCGTTTGATTGATCGAAATTGCTTGAATAACTGACTGTGCTTTAAATCGATACACACATATTCATCACAAAAAAAGAATCACTTCGGAATGTTATTTTGTTAATGTCAAAAAGAAAAATAAAACACTCATCTGAAATTCCACACTGAATAGTTCATTTTACTATCTTACGATAATAATTATATGCAGTCGATTTTAATTTTACCCTTCTCTCAAAAAGAATTTTCCCCAATTTTTCTTTCTAAACATGCGATATTTACCAAAGAAAAATGTTATTTGCAATCAAAAAATTAAACAAAAATATATTGACTAATTGTACCTTCCAAGATAAGTAAATAAGCGCCATAACAGTTTACTGGATGGAACGTGCTTTGAATAAATCGTTTCACGGACGATCAATTACACAACATTCTACGAAGGGTGTTCGACGCAGATTCAACTGCGGATAATTAAACAATAATTACCACAGTATAAACAAATCAATTTATATTACACCACCCGTACAAATTCACGAAATAATATGTGCGGAAAAAAAACACAGTGATACCGTTACCATCCTAAAATATTACGAGTGAAACCTATTTGATCTAAAATCAATCACATTATATCATTATTATTATTATTATTATGTCAAATAATCTCGTACGTAGTCTCACATTTGTGTAGTTGTTTCTTAACTTCAATCAGGTGATGAAGCCCTCGTAAATATCAGTGGCGCATCTAGGGATTGCTCGGAGTACTTGTCTTATAATCGTGAAATGTTGGTACCGATATCGAATTGCTAATTGCATATAATGCCAAATTATGCAGATTTGCGTTAACTACAGGTAATACCATATCGGATGAGAATGATTACATGGGAAGGGGAAATATTCCCCCCCCCCCGAAAAAAAAATACTCGTGCCCTCCCCCAAAATATCTCGCTCTAGTAGTTATAAATCACCTTAAATCATCTTATTTGGCGAGCTAGCTCCCCCTCACCTAATCATCGAGTCCCCACTTTACCTTCGCCCCTTAGCTCCCCCTCCCCCCGCCCATTTCCAGATTAGATACGCCACTCGTAAATATGGCTCTCATCCACCACCTCACGTAACGTACGAATTCGGGCACCTCCGGGGCTGAGCCAACCCTCTGCTTGATTTATATTTCAGATTTGTTGGCGGAAACGCAAAAACTACTGAATACTAGGCGTAGTACCGGCTTGTGTTTACGTCAACGCGTTGGCCAGTGTGAACTGAGCTTTAAGGCGAATTCAGTCACCAGGGACCAAATTCAACGGGGTTCGTTTACGGAAATTCATGCGCCAGAATCCGTGTCACACCGGTCACTGACAGTTTACACGAACGATATTAATCTTTAGCATTGTACAATACATACCTGTGTTGTTCGGGTTAGCTTTGGGATGATGTCTCGTAGCTCGTGTAAGCTTTTGTTGATTCGATCGCGCCGCCTTTTCTCGACCAGTCGATGGGACGTAAGCTGTTTCTGAAGAGAAAACATCACGGAGGAGACTGTTCATAAAAGTGTAGTATGTTCTGTAGCAATTCAAATAATAAACTGAAATGTGAAAGACTTGTCTTATAATCGTGAAATGTTGGTATCGAATTGCTAATTGCTATATAATGCCAAATTATGCAGACTTGCGTTCACTATAGGTAATACCATATCAGATGAGGATGATTACATTATCATTTCATTCAACGGAGATGATGCCGTCTCCTGATGACGTCACGAATGCTATTGACAAATCAAGAAACTTCATATCCTGATGAATCAGTTTTCACAAAACAGACACCTTACGTTAATACTTATAGCTAAGCAATGTTATGTAGGTCCGGTTGCCGTATGTCTTACGCACATGATGCTAATAAAACATTCTGTGTGACATGTACAGTTTTTCTGGAATATTTCTGAACACTTAATTGCGAAATTTGCGATCTCACGAGTACAGTCCCCAACGTAAGTGACACATAAAACATTATAGTGGTTAGGAATATTGGACGATGTCATAAATAACAGAATAAACAAGGATCAAATGAAATTGTAGGTTTATAGTCGTTGCTTATTATTGTCTAATATCACTTTCAATTAGGCCTATTATTTATTGTTGTTACTATTGTTGTTGTATTTGGTTTAATTATTGTTTTATTTTTATTATAACTATTATCGTTATTACTATTATTATTATTTTAGCATATTATTGTTAGGTCTATTTGCCCTATTATTTTCAAGCTTATTGATGTCGTTGCATTTATATATATTTATTTTCATATCATCTATGACTTATGAAAACAAACGGGGATCTGAAAACGTAATTTCAGTTTTCTAGTTTAATAAGAACAATGCAAGTTACAGTAGGTACGGTAATGAAAACCACTGCATATACACCAACGACCATGGGACAACTAATTTCGTGTCAAAAACGAAAGTGTGAGTGTTCTTAATGCTGCATTATTCAACGATCCAAGTGCAGAATCAATATTGTGATTACCATTGCGAAGTTAATGACACGGTTAATAATCTTTGTGCATTTAGATCGCGACATGAGCACAATGTGTCATCCTTGTGATGCAGTAGTATTTACAATAAAGCGCCATTCTGTTAAATCCATAGAGATTCATGACAATCGAATATACCTAAACGTTAATTCCTCCAGAAAATCGAAAAGTTGTCTGCATTATCGTAAAACCATAGGTAAGGATACAGACTGTAAACTACACATTTACACAATTTATCAAAATAATGGTCATATTTTATAGAGTACAGTATCACTGTATCCATTCAATCGGTAGACCTATTTTATAGAGATTAGTCGTCAGGTCCGCGCATCCCGGATGCGCTTCTTTACCACGCGCATTCAATATACGCGTTTCCTATACGCGCATCCGGTACGCCCATCCGGCACGCGCATCCGACACGCTCATTCGGTTACCAAAACTGAAGTTCTCCTGAACATTTTCTTGAGTGTAATGAACATGAATGAGGACCTATCGCAAATAGTTTATTTACTAGAGCAATGGAGTTATACCGGTAGTGTTGAAAAAATGTTATTGCGGCAGGCTACAATCTTAATCTTCGTTTTTAAGCATATTTCTGAATTAAGAATTTGTATATAAATTAGGTCTTTGTTAAAAAGATACATAACTATGGCGATTCGATACCTATAAAAATAGGTAATATTACCTATTGTAGGTCTATCAGGCCTAACTGGTATCACCATAGGCCTATCAATTTCATAAATGTTAAGTTAAAACAATGTACCGGTAATTATATTTTACTCAAAACATTGGGGCCTATGGAAATTTGAAGGGATTTTCTATTCTTGTAGCCTGTTGGTAGGCCTACTGTATTGTTGTTACTATTGTTGGTTGTGGGGTGGTTTAAAATACTCAACTTCCAAAGCCAAAAAGTGAACAGATGGAGCACTCAATTTGTATAATTAAACGTTCCACCAGCCTCTGTAAATGTTTTACTTATGGGACAAAAGACCCTCTCAGCGAGCTGCTTCACACTGAAGAAATTGTAATCCTACTTAACATGGAAACAAGTACGGATTTAGTACGCCTCTTCCATCACTGTCAAATGAATAAACGAAATACCCCAGGAAACATTCTTTGTCTTGATATATCATTCACAACGTTTGGTAAGCAATAGAAATTTTTTGATTGTAATCGGACAACACAAAGCATGCTTAGTCACAACCATGTCTTGAAAAGCTTGCTCTGGGCCCACACGTCGACTCTATTAGCCTATGCTAAAAATATGCACATAAATAATCGTATTGATTGAGGATTTTACACACATTATTCACTCACGAAATCATCATTACCAATGAAGCTCTTATTATCCGCTAAGCAATCCAATTTCTAATAATATTTAATGTGTACCACAATTACCACGATACACAAAATTTTCGAACAAGTGCGCGTACGACGCGTGACGTGCGTGCATAACAAAGGCCGATTGCTCGGCCAAGTGTGTATAATTAGATTGTTTGTGTCCCTTTTTTGTAAAGAAACGATTCCATTAATGATCACGAACACAAATGCGAATCAGACCTATAGAGTAGGAAACACCACGTAGTGTCATTGTGTTATATGCTGTTACACACAAGAATAAACACGCGAGCTTTTTTTCTTTCAACAGTGGATCTCGCTCCACCTTTTGTCCACGCTCTTCCATTGACGCCTCATCATGCAGATATTAGGAAACAGCACCGCCTCTTTGAATTAACCGGTCTCGTATGTTGAACTAACGCGTTTTACGGTTTTAATATACGAAGTAATGACACCTAATATCGAAACTTATGAAATGATGATGATTGCATTGGCGGTTACGGGATCATCTTACCACAAGTGGGCAAACAACGCGCACTGTTACCATAGTTACGTACATCCCTGACCCCCAATTACTAACCTTTCTCTTACGGGACGTGCTAACTCTTTCGTCCATCAACGATTCGCAACTTGATTGAGTCCTTTGTAGAAAAGATTAATTATGACATAATTTATTAATTTATACTGTACTGTTAGACCAATTCAAGTGTCATATAACACGTGATAATAATTAATGATTTAATAATTATACATAAACAAATAAAAAAAAACAATGCTAAAATATTGGTACGAATAACCATTATATATATTCGTTCCAATATATAGGCCTATATATTATTCGCATATAATTAGCCAATATATATGTGGGTGTGTGTGGGGTGTAGAGGTGGGCCTGTTGGTGTAGACCTAGTTATTTGTATATATAGGTTTATATATATTATATAGCAAGATGCATACAAGAAACATGGTCAATTCGTTATTAACTGAGTGTACTAATTTATACTTGCAACCCTGGGTCATCAGTGGGACCACTTATGTAGTTAATATAATGTCCCTAGGGCAAGCAATAATAAACTATTCGTGACATGCATTATTACGTTTTACAGGCCCAGAGCAAGAATATTTGACGAATTAATGCAGAGACACCTGTAATTACAATCGCTGTACGACCACGGTGTGATAAGAAGTATCCATTCTATTATTAAGACCGACCTCTTTCTTTGTTGTCTGTCGACAAAAACAATAACTGTTTTGGACAAGTGGTATGCCTAAGCTCTTGGAACATCGATGGAATAAGTTAATATAGATCACATCGGCATAAGACACTTACAGAAGCCTAGCACTTATAAAACTCTGTAGATAGTCATATAATCGAAATTGCGTAAGTGATGATGAGTGTTTTCCTAACTGTTATTGAGTTGACCCACAAGAACGCCCCAAAGGAGAGCAGCTGTGATTAAAGTAATCATAGAAGGTAGTAATATATCACAAAAATCGAAGACCTTAAAATTTAAATCTTTGCAAATACTCGCCTCAACTGCTTCATGATAATTCATGATTTGAACCAATAGATTGATACTTTCTACATAATCATGACCTAAGTTTATTATCAATATATCAACTATTTGTTTTTGATTGTGACTTGAAAACAACGGGAATAACAAAAGAACACTTACTGAATGGTTCTACTACTTTGTCCACTACTTTGTTGCGACACGGCCGTGTCGTATGCACGTACGATCGGAGCAGCGTTCATGTTATAATATCCACAATTAACAAATTATAAAATCATCCTCTGGTCACATCAAGAAACATTGCATTCTCGGTTAATAAGCTGACAGCTAGATTCCAGGGGACAGGCAAGAGGGAAATTCCTTCGAACAGGCCAAAAATTCACCCAGTGACTGGAATGGCCGTATGAAATGGATTTCTGAACAGGAGGCACGAGCGAAGCTCAAGTCGGACGCTAATGTTTTGCTCACTAATCGGCTTGGTTAGGGCGGACCAATCAGTGGAGACCTAAGCCCCACTCAGCACGTGTGATCTCGTTCAACTTCATTCTGGTCACGTGGGTTTTATCATATTTCTAGCTGGCTAACCGCAGGAGAACAAAAGAACTTCCTAGTCAGCCAGCGAAGGTGATTAGTGAATAGAAGATGTTTCCTCCTCGGGAGAAAAACACCCCTTTCGGAATAAAAGATGTTTTGCGGTTGAACTGATGCACCCTGGAGTATGCGTTAATTCTTTCTTTCAGCACGAGCACAGTATGCAGCATTGGTGCTTCCTTAGCTATAGGTACTGAATGTCATTCAAATTCTATAAAAATAAAAATAATAAAATAAAAAAACAAGGAAAAAGACAAGATGAAAATTAATGCGATTCTGTGGTTTAACCTTTATAGTGTCCAGCTAAACACTATGTGTATCCGTGCCCTTACATTTCTTTATAAGCCGGAAAGCCAGAGGATTAAATGTAGGTTTATCTTCATCGGATCCAGGGGTGGCCGACGGGAAGCTCACCCTCCACCCAGCAGCAAAACATATTTAACACTATATATTCCGCGTTAGATATTGATTTTATAATTAGGTCAGTTTGCCGTCTGTGGCCCATCCCAAATAAGAGGATAGGAGCTACCCCCAACCCGTATAGTAATGGTACCGTACTGCTTAAGCCTTATATTATTTTCATATTAGGCCTATTGCATTAAATTTATATCAAGTGGAAATTATTGTACTGGCAGGTCTATTAATGTGTATCTAAAACTCCTCTTTCTGGTTGCTAAGTGCACGTTAAGACTCGTACCATCATACTGTACCGGTAACCCTAAAATCAAGTCATTAACTGATGATCCTTGACATACCAAAATATTTTTCATAAAACTTAGCACCGGGCCTTTGGCACGAGAGTGAAAGTTGTGCACTATGTATTATGGCCTATTTCCTGAAATTTATTTTAAAAAATGAAGTGAATTGAAAGTCAAAAATATAATAAAATGGGTTAACATTTTCGTTTTTGTTAATGTTATAATTTTTGACTGAGGATGGGGCTGTGTTATTTTCTCTCTAAAGTTTGTAGCCTGTACTCAAGGTTAAGTTCTTGAAAAACATGGTTAATCGTATGAAAGCCTAGAACTCTAACTATTTGTGTTTTTGTCAAGCAAGGACTCTCATAACAAAATGTAATTATAATTTTCCTTTTCTCAATTTTTAAAAAATAAAATTTAGGGGGTGGGGGCCAGCTCACCCCTTGAATCCGCCACTGGCTTCAACACCGGGTTCGTACCTCACCCAAATATAGCTCTTCCTATGGAGCATACTAAATGTTCTAAGTTCCCCTGGACTTATGGCTCCCAAAGAACGTGAATGCTGGTTTTATGGACCGTGGCGGATCCAGAAATTCAAAATAGATGGGGGGGGGGAGCTAGGGAGGGACTTTCAGGTGATGTGGGTCTGTACACCTCAGCCTCACCACGGTTAGGGCTAAAAATTTACGATCATGGCACCTCTTGCCACCCCACCCACCCCACACGTTAACGATGAGCAAAACACCGACTAAATCAGAAACATTCATTATTTATTTTATTTTTATTTATTCGCCTCCACATAGGCAGATATACAATAAAATACCAAAGACATAAAAGGTTGCATGTGACGGGAGAAGGCCAACAAATCGCACCTCTGATAGCGGCCGATCCCGAATTGCACAGATACTGAGATATACAATCAAGCATATAAAATTATGAGATAGCACCCTATTTTTTACCATAACCTCACCTCTTGATGATTGAGGCCTATACCGCAGTGAATCTCCCTTCAGTGTGTACTCAAGAATTATGCCTATCTATCCGGATAAGACTATAGTTAAATTTTATAAATTATTATACACGTGTATTCACTTCATAAATACATGCATTTTCTAGGAATCGCACTTCCTTCGACAGCTTCTCCTAGGGTCCCAGCCCCAGCCCCGGCCTACATTATTTCTATTAGTCAAATGAATTAAATATAAAATGTGATTAATTAACATATTATTTCGATGGACATAACTACTGCGAAATAGTATTTGTAGTGGAGCTACTGTATTATCTTGGTTAAAATGTTTTCCATTTTAGGTGTCCGGATTCTACTAATTTATTTTCTCTAGATTAAAACCTTGACTCCAATCCTTCCCTAATCCTCATTACGAGAATCAGGATAACATCTCCTTCTGGAAGAACAGTACCCGTACAGGCTTCCAAATATAAACAATAGGCCGAAGAATTACATTAAAATTAAACAGTTATTAAAACATTTTGTTGGGAGGTCGCAAATTGTTCCAACATTTTGGAAATAACGTCTGGTAGAGGGCGCTAGCAACTATGTCACTACCTGTCTCTTATACACATCTAGATGTGTATAAGAGACAGGTACTGTTAGACCAATTCAAGTGTCATATAACACGTGATAATAATTAATGATTTAATAATTATACATAAACAAATAAAAAAAACAATGTTAAAATATTGGTACGAATAACCATTATATATATTCGTTCCAATATATAGGCCTACATATTATTCGCATATATTACACACATATAATTAGCCAATATATATGTGGGTGTGTGTGGGGTGTAGAGGTGGGCCTGTTGGTGTAGGCCTAGTTATTTGTATATATAGGTTTATATATATTATATAGCAAGATGCATACAAGAAACATGGTCAATTCGTTATTAACTGAGTGTACTAATTTATACTTGCAACCCTGGGTCATCAGTGGGACCACTTATGTAGTTAATATAATGTCCCTAGGGCAAGCAATAATAAACTATTCGTGACATGCATTATTACGTTTTACAGGCCCAGAGCAAGAATATTTGACGAATTAATGCAGAGACACCTGTAATTACAATCGCTGTACGACCACGGTGTGATAAGAAGTATCCATTCTATTATTACGACCGACCTCTTTCTTTGTTTGTCGACAAAAACAATCTATCCGGATAAGACTATAGTTTAATTTTATAAATTATTGTACACGTGTATTCACTTAATAAATACATGCATTTTCTAGGAATCGCACTTCCTTCGACAGCTTCTCCTAGGGTCCCAGCCCCAGGTGTGGTTTTCTGATCATTTGGTGGTCACAGTAAGCCTAAAGTATTTCTATTAGTCAAATGAATTAAATATAAAAAGTGATTAATTAACATATTATTTCGATGGACATAACTACTGCGAAATAGTATTTGTAGTGGAGCTACTGTATTATCTTGGTTAAAATGTTTTCCATTTTAGGTGTCCGGATTCAACTAATTTATTTTTCTCTAGATTAAAACCTTGACTCCAATCCTTCCCTAATCCTCATTACGAGAATCAAGATAACATCTCCTTCTGGAAGAACAGTATCCGTACAGGCTTCCAAATATAAACAATAGGCCTAAGAACTACATGAAAATTAAAACAGTTATTAAAACATTTTGTTGGAAGGTCGCAAATTGTTGCAACATTTTGGAAATATCGTCTGATAGAGGGCGCTAGCAACTATGTCACTACAGAGCCGACTGCAGTATTGGATAACAGCGCACAAAGTGGTGTTCCACATTTGAAATTAATATAAAAACGTTTCAAGTTGCCAAATCGATGCTTCGGTAACCTAGCCCGAATGTTCATTCCCCAAAACATTATATAACGATAAGATCTGCTTAACTCAGGTTCAAAAATACTTTGTTTAGGTACACATTCGAAATAAGAATTAAATGAAATTGATCCGAAACCGGGAAGTGTGTTTTGAGATAGACTTTCACAATCTAAAAGGCACAAAATTTGAACAATAGGTTTGGATATTACTATTTATGTCGTGTAAAAAAAGGACTAAAACATAGACTTGTTTCATTACTTTTAATACAGCAGCCTATTTTTACCATCTCATCTCTTAGTGCTTGAGGCCTATCGCGACTTTAATGTGTTGCTTGAAAGTTAGCATGAATGTGAAGATATTTTTATTGCAAGGTGAATATCCTCCTATAAATACAGCTAGTCACATTGACTGGCCTAGGTAAGCATGTTTAACAAGTGTTTTTTGACCATGAGTACTTACACCCAGTACTATGCTAGTGTCACTGTTTAACAACTCCCTTATAATAATTATTAAATCATTGTCACAAAATAACAAATAAATGTTTCCAATAACGCAAGGGAAATCGACAGGAACCGAGAACACGTGAATAAAAAAGTGGCCGACTCTAGAGTAATTGCTTTTCTTTATATTCTTTATCAGTAATTATGCTTTATTAATCATGTTTAGGTCTAATTAATATTTAAGACTGGTTTTAGTTTGAGACTTGGCATTGTTGAATATTTTGATCCGCATATCATCCATACTAGTGGCGGGAAACGCGCACATTTTGCCAAGGAGTGTAGGGAGCGACGACGAGAATCGACAACCAGGGCGGATCCAGAATTTTTCAGACGGAGGAGGGGGTGGGGGGCACAACATATTCAGAATAGATAAGTGAGAGTGCTAATTTCAATATATGCCTTGAGATTTTAAAATTTAGTGGCAAAACGTGGGGCACCTTCCCCCCGTGCTCTGGGGATGGGGAGGGGGTTGTGATGTTCCCGGATAATAGTATAGTTTAGAAATACCAATTCTTCTTATCGAGTCACTACATAGCTAGTGTGTATGATCCTGCTTACGTAGTGTGGTGTAGGATGGATACCTGACATGGGCCGCGACGTAAACGCTCCTTCTGTGGCCGGACAGGGGATTGGAAATGGACCAGTACACCGGGGTAACCCCCTACTCTTATCGAATGATGTACTGGGTTCTTTTAAGTGCACACGAGCCAATTGTGTACACTGGACCTACGGTTTAGAGTCCTTATGCCCCTTTCTCACATTCACGATTTTTGCTACGATGGAGCACGATTTTAAAAAGTTCTAAAATCGCGCTCTATCGTAGTGATTCGTGCTCAAAGTTCAAATTTTACGTTTCATCAAGACGCTACTAGGACGCCGTCAAGATGTATTACGGCACTAATGCGATAGTACGACGACATTTTACGAATTATAACGATAGAGTTACGATTTGTGACGACGTACTACGAATTACCAAAATTTTAATTCCACGTCACTACGATTTTACAAAGACGCAAGCACGACGTTAGCACGATTTAAAAAGACGCACATCACAAAAACAAACATCACATGACATGATAAAAAAGCGCACTGTTCAAACACCATCAATATTTGCAAGCTGCTGCTATAGAAGAAGAAAATTTGTTGGCTGCTACAGTTTTGATAATCAAGAGTAAGCGTCGGTTACGTCGAATGTATAGGCCTAAACGAAGTGTATGTGTACAGCCATGGCTCTTACGTCGTCCATATTTTAGACAGTATGAACACTTACTAGTAGAGTTAAATAGAGAAGACCCAAGAGGCTTCAGAAACTTCCTCCAAGTGAGCAAGGAATTGTTCAGCGTGTTGAAAAACTTATCTGACACAGAGTCACGTGATATAAACCACGGTCTTGATGGTATCCTGGTGGCATCGTATCTAATCGTCTCAGCACCGCAGCGACGTCTTGGCTTGTCGTAGGTGTTGTTGGTATTACGAATGGACAAGACACAGTCACGACAAACGACGACAACGTTACGACACTCACACGATGCCGCTGTGGTAGACCAACATCTTTTTCACGGCTACGACTGAGCACGATTTTTTTTAACATTCCAAAAAAATCGTGCTCCATCACGATGACATCAAGATCCAGTACGATGCAATACGATGAATTATTTTTGACCACATTCACGGCGACGCCATTGCGATTTTTCAAAATGGAAAAATCGTGCTGTCGTAGCAAAAATCGTGAATGTGGGAAAGGGGCATTATCCGGGAAGACTTGTTCCACCACTGGAACCATAGAGGAGCGTGACGTTCGAGCGCCTATATTATCGCCAATCGACTCGCCATGTACCAATTATCTAAGTGATTTCACAATTCGAGATTCAGGGAAAGGTGATGGGGGAAAGCGCCCTTTTCCAAACCCTGGAATCGTATTGTTAAGTTCCCCAAAGCGTACAAGGCATATTGTTACAGTCTCGTTGTGCTCATTCCTACAATATTTAACTCCATGTTAAAAATGAAATTGACTAAAAATATTGTATTCAAATAAGACGTTGAAGATTTTCCAACTTTAAACCTACTCTAATTGCGTAGGTCGAGATTCCTTATTTTTTAAAATTGTGTTTGTATATACAGTACAAGAAATGTTTTAAACGTATAGAAAAAAGAATGCGATCTATTTTAACGAATAAAAGTATAAAGCGTGTAAAATCACAATGTACATAATTTTTTTTTAAAGAAAAATTTACAAAAAAAAAAAAAAAAAAAAAATGGTACAGTAATTCTGAAAATCTAAAAGAAACTTATTATTTATATATATCCAGTAAGGGGAACGTGCCCCCCGTTTTGCCACTAAATTTAAAAATTGTCAATGCAAAACAATGTTATGTGCTACTCACCTATAATGAGACTGTTGGGCACCCAAGATGTGTATAAGAGACAGGTGTACACTGGACCTACGGTTTATAGTCCTATATGTGTTAACATGTATAGTGTAGGTTTTAACCAGGGAACAGCCCCTGATGGAAGATAGAATGATAAAGAATATGTGTTAACATTTATAGTGTAGGTTTTAACCTGGGAACAATGAAGGAGCCTAGGAAATAAAGACCAAGGAACAGTAAATTAGGGGATAATACAAGATTGTCCCCACACCCCATCATGTTTACCTCTGTTTAACACCCCTTCTTAATGATATTATTAAATATAGTGTATTCTTTTTTTCACTAACCCTACCCAATACCCATGGAGGTATAAAGTAAGACTTTGATGCACTCGATGAGGAACCACCAAGATTACTGCATTGTTACAGTGCAAGGATAGGTCTTTTGTAAGACAGGGTATAGGAGGAAAGGAGTGCATTAAGCGACACGTGGGGGAAATCCGCTTTAAAAGTACATTGTTTAAAGAAAGTAACATGTTTTATCCGAACCAGTCTTTATCGAATAATTAAGATCAGTATTTCAGGTCGACAATAAGAGGTTGGTGTAGAACAAAGCTTTTTACACGGATCATAAGCATATTCCGTGGTATAGGAAAGTAGAGAACCATTAAGCTAGCATTTATGAGCTCCTTGATCAGGCTGGGAATTAAGGTATTTTTATTGTCGATTGTGGGAGTTAAATTATAGTGCACATAAAGTCGCATTCAACCTGATTATAACGTCTGTTAGTAACTCGTCCGTCTGCTTGTATCGATCATTCCCCATCGTCTGCAAACTGAGTGGACCCACAATGATCGCGTCAATAATCAATCACACAGAATTTGTAAAAAAAAAACAATTAGGGCCTTTTTTGGCCAGGTGTGGCGCCAGCGGGGGGGGGAGGTGCGCAAGGGACTCACCCGTCGGGAAGAGCTCCCCCACCCTCCGTCGGGGGGAAAACCACAAATCGTCGGGGAGAAAAAAAATGTATATGCATTTTTTACAAATTAGTAGACTTAAAAATCGATTAAAGAAGCCTTTGAAACCCCTGAATTGATATTTTTCGCCTGAAGCACTTTCAAAAGATCGCCCTCTGAAACACTTTCTCGACACCCGACCACGCCCTAAATTTTTGGCGGGGAAATCGGCCCCCGTCGGGGAACCTCGGACCCCTTCCCCACCCCCATCGGCGCCACCACTGATTTTGGTCGGATAATGAATTACAGATCACAAGGTCTATACAACTCTTATTGTAACTGATTAAACAAAAAGTACGTATAAACTTTGGATTACAACTGCAACTTCTAATGGTACGAAATAAAAACAACTCATTCTACGAAAACAACCTCTATGAAACTTCTAGTAATGATTACCTAAATATTTAATCAATTTAACGAGGTTTAATGCGCATGTGCAAGAAGAGAATTACTAGTTTGCATAGTTCTCTAGCTTCTCATCTCAACAAATTCATAAACAAACAAAATAGATATAAATTTCTTTAAAATCGAATTATAAAGTTTAGATATGTACATAAATAAATTATCTATTCCAACAGGGCTAAAATGATTTCTAAAAAATCAGTTACTGTATGTACCGTAATATTTTATCATACAACACTACACCAGAGAAATATTTGTTGCCCAAGTTCAAAGAAGTCAAAGAACATATCACATTAGAAAGCCTATAGGAAGACTTTTTTACCAAGGAATTTAGTATTAGATTCGGACATCATTCCATCTAGAAATTGTTGTTTTTTTTTGTTTTTTTTTGCTTTAATCTGTATCAAATCATTGGGGAAGATGATTTGTCCGCTTTTTAGTTGCTTAAGCTTCACCCTCCACAATCCGACTTTCCATCGTGTCCTTTGGACAAATGAATAAACTAAAACAAACCATTCTGAAATGCATACAAATAAAAGGATTTAAATGTTCAGATAGAACATAAAAACCCCCACCCCGTTCGTCCACCTACCTTTCCACTCACTCACACTTTCCACCAAAACACTCATTAGCCTCAAAAATAATGTACTTAACTAATAACATTACGTAATTTATAACAATCTAATATATATTACAGTAAAATAATAAGCTTTGTTATTAATCATGTTTCAGCTTACAGATACTTATAAACAATAATAATAATAATAATAATAATAACATTAATAGCGATAAAGAGATGACAGCAACAATAAAACGTACATATAACAAAATTCGCTTATTCTGACTGTACATGGAGAAGCACACACCGTAATAAGATTTCAATCTTGCATAAATTAAAAGAGTACACTTGACTTGCATACCTGCAATTAGTACTCGTATTGAATAACAACATTATCACACTCTGAGACGGACGCTAACTGGAAGGTCAAAATAAGTAGATATATTTCACACAAGATGATCGCCGTCGCCGATTAAAAAATTATTATTGATAATTACAATTAGATAAACAAAATAATATTTTCTATTTAATAATAGACAAAATTCTTCTAATTCTCAAAATTTATAAAAACAAATTATATAAACAAACAAAATACGTTATAACTAAAAACTACATATTTTATTTCAGTTGCAACCTAAAAGATATTGCAGTATAAAAACACAGCTAAAGCTGCATATTCAACAGTTTACAGCTTCTAAAAGCAATTAACACTGTATAATATCCACGCAAAATATTGATTCCTTTTATCTGTAATACCATCATTTCATGAATTATTCAGCCCCACGCTTTCACAATTGAGTCTTAAAATTCGCCTGACTTATATACAGAGCTGGGACAAAGAGTTAAACAAAAATATCATATGAGTATAGTCAGCAAGTTACATTATACAAAATATTACCATTATTGCAAACAATGTGTCAGCAGTGAAACTGCTATTTATAACTGATTGTCATTTATATTATCTTTGTTCATTTTTTTTTTTCATTTTTATTACTGCTTTGGGAGTGAGTAAATGTAATCATCAAATTTGGTTTATACTCATGTTAAAAAATAACCACATTAATTGTGGTTATTTAATAAAGCTGTCTCTTATACACATCTAGATGTGTATAAGAGACAGCAATTAATCAACACCAATTAATCAATATCTACCAATCAATACTGAGGGTCTAAAATGATCAGCAGTTTCACCCTCATTAAATATGATTGAAATAAATAAAAAAATAAATATATTGATGAATCTATATCAATAAGCAATCCAATATCAATACCAGTCAAAACATATCAACCTATCAATCGAGGACCAATATGAAAACAAGCGTTCGAGCTTATAGGGTCATCCTATCTTGCTCTTATTGTTATTTTGTGTTTTTGTATTTTATATTGTATCTTGATGTAATGAGAGCAATAAACCAATAAAAAAAATCAATATGTTACTAAGCACTGATTAACCAAAATTGATATACCAATAAGTCAATCAGTACAGCAGTACTGTGTGGGGGATGGATTATTTGCATGATATTATTATTAAACAAAAACAATATACATTATTACTCTTCAATTGATCAGAATTATATGTCAGTCAATGATAACTGATGATAAATTGCATTTAACAGTCTCTCTGTTACATCTTGATTGCGCAATAAAAAAAATCAATATGTTACTAAGCACTGATTAACCAAAATTGATATACCAATAAGTCAATCAGTACAGCAGTACTGTGTGGGGGATGGATTATTTGCATGATATTATTATTAAACAAAAACAATATACATTATTACTCTTCAATTGATCAGAATTATATGTCAGTCAATGATAACTGATGATAAATTGCATTTAACAGTCTCTCTGTTACATCTTGATTGCGCACTTTTAAAACCAAAGTGGACAATAATCCATTGGTTTTACTTATCAAAAATTTTATCATGATCTTCCAGGAATAATTCCACAACTTTTTTCTGGTACTGAAGAAGTATGAGGTTGTTGAGGGACTGGTCGTCAGGGGAGCGGAATATCGTTGGTCCAAACACAATTGCTATGTTCTCAACACTCATCTTGTTTTTCTCCTGGTGATGACTTACTCTGTGAAGAACAATAACAAAACAATAACAAAATATAAGAGACAACATTAAACGCACATTTAACTTAACTCTCAACTCCTTAGTATAGTGAAGTCCTGCTTCCCCACTCCAACTGAGATAAGTTTTATACCTTCCCTCATCCTAACCAAGTGATACCCCTATCGCAACAAACACTAACACTGCCCTCAAACCCCAACTAAGCTAAATAATACTCCTCACAAGATGTCATCAGAACCATATTTTAGTCATGTCACACGTTTTTGTGAAAACATTTTTGACAGTTCGAAGAGGACTTAAGCCTTGTCATGAGACTGTCTATGTAGAGCATTGTATGTATGTTTATGCTCTTGGATGAAATAAATTTAAAATGTGGCAAAGACAAGCCAAACCAGTCGCTCCTTGCTTAAATTGATTTTTATTTATTAATACAGGGTTAAACAGTAAAATGTGAGCTATAAAATGATAAAAGAATCATTTAAATCTGACAAGCTGTATGTTTATGAGTTAAACTAACAGCTGTTTAAAGAACAAATATTGAGAAATCAGCCTTCAAAGTTTACGATTTTGGGCATTTCTCAGGCAGAAATTGTCACCAAATCATTAAAAATTGTTTTTTTAACATTGAAAACGGGGAAAATAACTACATAGCATGATGAATAGATAGGCTTGTTTAGTGCAATAAAATAGGTTTTAAAAATTTTGACATTCCATCATTGTTCGGCCATTATTTCTGAAACAGGATTTGCGATGAGTGATTGATTTGGCTTGTCTTTTCCACAAATAATAAAAAAAAATTCTTTGTAAATTCTACACCCTCATGTTTTGGTTGTCCTATAGTAGATTTATTACAATATTTAAAAAACTACTGATTCAGTATGAAGGATATTTTAATCGGAATATGCTTATAACATACGTAACCTTCAGGTAAAAGATTATTATCGGAATAACAACTACGTTCACCTTATCAATGCATCACTCAATCAAAATATGAATATTTTTAGCATAAATTGTGTTTTAATTATCAATTACCAATGATAGCTTGGAGCAAATATTATTAATCTATTTCAATTACTCTGCTGTCATAACAATCTGCTCTACTGGAGTGATTTAATGTAATTCGCAGCCTAGCAATATGACATTAAACGCTAGAAAATGAGTTTGACCAAATATACTTAATGATCCTAAACAATGCTAAATGTTGTATGTATCATTAATGATATGATTCCCATGCTTCTATTAAAGGTGATACAGAAAGTGCAGGTACCTTTGCTATACTTAGCATGTATATTCGCTTACACGTATAAAGTACACAAACTTACACAAATGCGTAAAAATTGTATTTACATGTATAAGTACGTGGAAAGCAGACCTACACATATTGATATACTGTAGGTAAGTGCAATTAAAAGCATGCATGAGTTTAAAGGCTAGTATTTGCCTGGGGCGGATCAAGACATATGCAAGAGGGGAGGGAACTGTAGTGTTGGCCTAGATGATAAAGATGAAAGTATCAGACAAACAGTGGGAGAGGGAGAATTTGGAGAAGGTATCTTCTTCCAAATAAGGGGTGATTAAATATCATATATTATCGACTTAGAAGGCCTACTTTTTTTTTCATTTTCTGAGCACTCTCTTGCCTTTGTACATTGCAAACTTAATGCAAGGTACAAGTCACAGATTAGATTGGATTAGATTTTATTTTGTCTAATAAATAAAACCCAATTAGAAAGATAATACATTGAAATGTGAATGTCATCGATGTCACCATCAATCTGCAAATGAGTATGAATATCATAACAATCTGATTTTTGACAGTATTAAAGCATGGATTACTCCATTATTTTCTGGCAGCAAATTTGAAAACAACCATTGGCTATTTCACCTGTATAAAATGGGAGGGGGGAGGGGAGGGAATGTACACATTGTTGACACTTCCCCCTGATTCTCTAAAGCTGCTACCTGTTTCACTTTCACTAAAATTAAAATCAGTTTTAATGCCCTCTTTGAAATAATTACAGTGCAATACAATTGCTCTAAACATTCACAAAATAAAAAACATGAAATATATAACCAAACAAAACAATAAACTACTGCAGGAAATACTACTGTCCTCCTGCCGACCAATGGTTATTTACTCCCAGTTGAAAGAAAACCTTATGGTTCTTAATATCTTTATGGTTCTAACTAAGTCAGTGCATAGATCGTAAAAAAAATGTATTCTGAATGGATTTGGTGATTGCCATATTTTGTATGTTAGCAGCTGGTATATTTATTTTGTGAATAGAAGTACTTTTTACTTGTGTAGGAAAGTGCACAATGTATGTGGAAGGTGCATGCACTTCCACACAGATGTGGGAAGTGCACATATTTGCCTTAGATACAGAGAAATGCCTACGCAGGTAACGGACCATTTCAGAATGTCAATCAAACTTAACAACTGACCAATCAAGAACAGGAATAATATTCTTGTTAGATATGCACATATTATGTGCATATCTAACAAGCACACATGTTGTCCGATGAACACACATGTTTGCATATGTTTTAACACTATCCTTTTGTGGGACCTCAGCAATAACATCAATAAGGTAGGGCTTAGCAGAGGTCCATTGAGAGGAACGCATTAAGAGGCTAATTTAAAAGTACTAGGCATACCTGCGGAGGTGCTCCGTAACACACTTAAGGGTCTGGTAGTGCGCCAGCTTTATGCTGTGTAACTCCTTTGTAGCATTGTAAATACTGTCAAACCTTTCATGCTCATCAGTTATTCCTTTAGAAAAAAAAAATATTATATTTATTAATAATACATTTAGCATGACAAATTTCTGTATGTTTTACATTAAACTTCTTGAATATTTAATTCAATTCATATTTCTTATGCAACCCTATTTTTATGTATATGTTCTAATTATAATTAATCATATTTGAAGAGAGAAGTCCTAATATTGTCCCTCAAACCATTACAAAAACAAACACAGCACAAAAAATATACTGTATATACCATACTTTCTCTGGTATAAGCTCACCATCTTTCAACATGAATTGGGAAAATTTTTATGGTGGGCTTATAACTGAGGAATCCCAGTTCATACAAAAATTAAAAAAAAAAAACTTTAGGGATGGCCAATCAAAAGGAATAGTCTTTTAGTTAAGAGTAGTTAAGTTCTATTATTGTAATGTTTTAATGTGCTGTAGGGCCTCTTTGAAGTTTTCACTGAGAGGGCTGCTCTACTGAAACAAAACTTAATAAATAAACAAACAGTAAACAATAATAATAACAATAATAACTGCAATAAAAGAAATTAGAAAAAATATAAATAACAACAATAATAATTATTATCATACACAACACAAAAATAAAATACCATATTTAATTTGTGTGTGGGAGCCAAAATGTAATTTAAAATTGTTACTAATTTCAATCTATTGTTACTTTCAAAAAGTAACAATAAATTGAAATTATATCATATTATGACAGATAATAAACAATAAATTCCCATAAATGAAAAAAATTATTATTGATAATTACAATTAGATAAACAAAATAATATTTTCTATTTAATAATAGACAAAATTCTTCTAATTCTCGAAAAATTTATAAAAACAAATTATATAAACAAACAAAATACGTTATAACTAAAAACTACATATTTTATTTCAGTTGCAACCTAAAAGATATTGCAGTATAAAAACACAGCTAAAGCTGCATATTCAACAGTTTACAGCTTCTAAAAGCAATTAACACTGTATAATATCCACGCAAAATATTGATTCCTTTTATCTGTAATACCATCATTTCATGAATTATTCAGCCCCACGCTTTCACAATTGAGTCTTAAAATTCGCCTGACTTATATACAGAGCTGGGACAAAGAGTTAAACAAAAATATCATATGAGTATAGTCAGCAAGTTACATTATACAAAATATTACCATTATTGCAAACAATGTGTCAGCAGTGAAACTGCTATTTATAACTGATTGTCATTTATATTATCTTTGTTCATTTTTTTTTTTCATTTTTATTACTGCTTTGGGAGTGAGTAAATGTAATCATCAAATTTGGTTTATACTCATGTTAAAAAATAACCACATTAATTGTGGTTATTTAATAAAGTTAAAATTATCCTGCACTTTAATACACAATGCACAATATCATATGAATTTGAAATGTTTGGCTGAGTGTTTGGCCATGAACTCAGTCAACATTGGGTTTTAATTGGAGTCAGATCACTCTGCTCCTTGAATAATCAAAAAAAGAAAATTCAATTTTAATTTAATTTATTTAATTTTTAAAGAAAGAACAGATTTGCACAGTACACACATCTAGTAATAACTCATTTAACAATGAGTTGCTGTTACTCAAGAAACTATAAATAGTCAATATGAGGCAAAAATAGGAATATAAATGTATGTCTTTATTAGCTCTTTAAATTGAGCTAAAATATTAAAAGTAGACCTAAATATTTAAAATTCTTTTTAATAATGTAAAATCAGGAAACATTTAACATGGACCATTAAACTAATTTAACTGTTCCCTGGTAAAATAGAAATTGGCTGGTAATTAGTTTACGAACTTTTGTAGCAAAAAAGGTTATAAATAAGCTTTACAGGGGCTTGCAATGATGCGCATAAAAATTCAAAATATACACAACACAACTAGCAAGATTTTTAAATGAAGTTGAACAGAAGCTGTAAAAATTCAATGAACACAGATACAAAGCAATCGAACTGATGACTTATCCGACCTTCAAACATAAATAGAACATCTGCAGGCGTAGGAGTACACTGCAGGTATGTTGTCTGTATAAACTTTCTATATACATAAAAACAATTTTATGGCATTGTATCAATTGTTGTCTATTTTCGTCCTTCATGCATACCTCTGCACATATCTTAATGTTTTGTCCAGACTATTAAGATTTATGTGGCAAAAATTCTGTGATATACCCATATATGGACATGATCATATACATAAATAGAACATCTGCAGGCATAGGAGTATACTGCTGGTATGTTGTTCATATATATTTTCTATATACGTAATAAACTTGTTATGGCATTGTATCAACTACTGTCTATTTTCATCCTTTATGCATACCTCTGCACATATTTAATGCTTTGTCCAGACTGTATCAAGTTTTTATATGTGACAAATATTCTATGATTTATCCATATATAGGCATGATGATGTCATATCACACCCATATACGGGTATATCCTTGTTATTTTGTCACATAAAGTTACTAATTAAATATAATTATTATATAAGTTATTATCTTTCAATTGAATGTAGAACAATAGAATATTTTCCAAATAAATTAATAGACACATAAATGAAACTGGTAATATATTCTTTGTCTTGTCAACTTAAACATTTCAATAATAGTCTGTGTATTAATATCGCATTTGTTTCGATAAACAGTATTTTATTAATATGTGATTAATCAATAAATATGCAGTACCAAGATATGTCTGCAAATTTATAACTTATTGTATTTGATCTTATTTAATGAGCAATTATATTATTAATCTATAGTCCAACATATTTTATAAAAGATATAAAAAGTTATGAAAATGATGTATATGTCTATCTGTAATATACAAAAAATTGCCAAATAACAAATAATCAATCTATCAATCAACCTGTCAACCACATGTAATTTTTTGCAAGTTACTTTGAATAGAATAATGTATATAGCCCAATAAGACTTAAAATTAATCGTTTTTCTCAGAAAAAAACAATTGATGCCAGCATTTTTTTATTAGTAAATCCTCTAAAAATGTATTTATTTTGCATTTAAATTTTTAAAAAGTAGAAAATTTCAACAAAGAGGAGAGAAATTCTGATCTGTCGTCGTCTTACAATGTGATGCAATTAGAGAGCTTTCGATTTGTGCGACGACGCAACGGAATCACTCAGGCATGACCGTCCTACCTGGTGTCCTACGTTCTCTGCATACGTAGACTTGGCCAAATTGTATTCCAGAATCTACTGAACGAGGTGACATGAACGTTCTCGCATGCACAGATGACTTTTAGTGACGTCATTACGTTCTACGTCCTACCGTCGTCGTGCAATTGAAAGCTCTCTATTACTCAAGGTGTGCACCAATTAAGTACTACTAAACCACAAACACAAATCAATGCATGGCAACAACGGTACTTATTTTTGATAGGTTGTGACTTCTTATGCAATAACAATGAGAAAGTATGCATATGACCATGAAGGAATAACAGTTTCCAAATGATAGGACATAATTAATCAACCTTGCGTGGATGTTATTATGTTTTGACCTTGTCAACATTTTGGATGCTAATTTCATCATAGTTACAATAAAATAAGAATTTATATTCAGTTCATGCTAATTGGAAATATAGTGGCTTGAACAGCTGATGATGATGATACAATATTAAAATAATAGTAATAACATTAACAAAGAAAATATTGTAATACTAATAATAACAATTAGATAAATAATTACAACAAATAACAACTATGATCATAACAATAGCAAAAACAGCAACAACAACAAGTGCTGATGTAGCAACAACAATAAGAGCTGTGTAGCAACAACAGCAACAGTGCAAACAGCAGCAGATGCAACAACAAGAGTTGATGTAGCAACAACAGTAACAGTGGAAACAACAGCAGATGCAACAAGAGCTGATGTAGCAACAGCTGCAACAGTGGAAACAGCAGATGCAACAAGAGCTGATGTAGCAACAAGAGCAACAGTGGAAACAGTAGCAGATGCAACAAGAGCTGATGTAGCAACAACAGCAACAACAACAGTAGCATCAACATCAGAAGCAGCAGCAATAACAACATCTACAATATCAACAGCAACAACACTTACAACTAAAATAACTAGTACAGCAATAATATAATAATAATTCTTATAACATTTATATTTTCAAAGGGATGTAAATTTTACTTACTTGCAGCATTCATGAACTTCTCATAGAGTTCAAAAGGTATAAGTGGGATTGGAAGTTGCCGTAGAAATAGCTTGAGGGCGCCTGCTAGAGCATTGATGTCGGGGACATCATGTGGACCAATCTTTGCATTTTCGTTATCTACCAATTCAAAAATATCATGCAGTTTATGTTATAAAAACCATTCTCAAAAAAGTTTTTTGGCAGGAAAACAACAACTTGTGCTTTTTAAAACGGAAGTTAAAGGTATGATAACCTCAAACTGCTTTTGAACCGCATGACTGATTTGTTCTCCACCAAAGCTTGTGGTAAATTAGAAATAATAACAACCTGTGAATTTTGTATGCAAGGACTTGCAAATTACATAAAATTTTTGAATTAAAAATTTTGCTATACCAGGCTATTCTTGCCCCTCATTTTTCTGTGTTTAAAAATTCTTGCTGTCTTTGCTGGAACTTTGTTTGTTGTTAAACACTGTAAAAAGCTCTGAAATATGTTCCATAACACCAGAGTATAAAATTTGCAAAACAATAATGGGCATTATAAATCAAGTTTAAACTGATTAATCCTTTTATAGAGTTGCTGATTCATGGATTTAATTTTCTGTTATAGTAGTTCTACAAGATTATCATAAATCTAGTTTTCACTTTAAATATTATGCTTTTGAGTTTTACGAGACAGTGCATTCTAGCATGGTTGAGGCATCAATCATTGCCTGTGGCATGATCGACAGCTCAGAATGTTAATATTATTCTTGCAAAAAATATGATTCATCTTTCTTGCCATCTCCATCTTGAAAACAATTCACATAAATATTAATATTTCTTACAATATGGAAGAATTATTAAAAATCATGTAACGGGCTGGATTGATATAGTATGCATGTGAAGTTGATAGGTGGGGGTTCGGATGTTAAAATCTAGTGTAGACTCTCAAAACAGTGCGGTCAATATAACATAAGGAAGGCTGTTTCAAAATTACAAAAAAATAAAATGATATTTTGTCATTTTTTAGAGGACAACATAATTTTTTCTAAAAATATTTACCATTTTAATGTATTACATATGTATGAGATTTTCATGTGAGAGAAAACAATGTTGTACATTCATTAACAGCCTATATTTATGAGAATAGAGATTTCAATTTATTTTATATATTTTCATATATCTATTTAAGCATGCACCAAGGATGGTCAACAGTGAATATATCATTGTCCTACATAAAGGTGACCATCTCTTACACAACACACACATACACACATGAACACATGCGATGCTTTACACAAACTAAATCACAATATGAGGTTTGGGAGTGAAGTTATTTTGGTCGTGAGAAAAAATCCTGCAACACTGACAGGAATTGAACCCAGGACCATGGGATTAGAGGGCAAGCATCTTAACCACCAAAGGTATTGAACTCCACAATATTTATGAATATTTACGATGATGATTATGCATAATTCGCTTACAAATTAAATACACTAGTAGTAATTAGATTTTTAATAATCTACTTATAAATTACATAGTAACTAGAGCCAAAAACTCTGATGAGAACTGACCATTATCAAATGAATGTTGAATATAGTCCACATCATCCAACATGCCTGGCACTCTGTATATACCTTCCATGTCCAGACCTTATAAATAAAAAAAAATAAAAAAAACAAATTAAACACCATAATTATAATATAATTGTTACTAACCTCAATAATGCTGTAAAGATTTCTTTGATCTTGGTACAGATACAAAGTTAATTAACACACAAATACTAACATTTAGTAAGATGAACAGAAAAGAAAAGTGAAAGTATTTTTTTCATTTAGTTTATTTGGTGGTTGTTATACATTAGAGTAATTCATGCATACTTGCATTTGCCTTTTTAACAATATTTTACTTGTACATCAATTAAGAGATTTTAGACAATGCTTTGTAAGTAAAATCAGTTTTGAACTAAGTATTTGCAAGTAAGTCTGACTGTTGTTATTATTTGCTTTAAGAAAGGTGAAGTCAATAATATGTACAGGTATTTACTGACCAATAAATCCAAATGAATTGAATAATGTGTATATTAAGGCAGAACAAATTCCTAAAACCAGAGTGGTCAGACCACATACATCCTACATCCTTGCATATACGTACTTAGAATGCAGGGATGGAGTTATGGAGGCCAGGGTCTCCCAGCCTTGAAGATTTCCACCAAATCTAAAGCTAATATCGTGGCCCTACACCCAGATTTATTAGCCCCTTAACCACCCTTAAAATCTATTCATATTATTTAGAGTTTACCAACAATGTAATCGCCCACCCACCCTAAAAATGTCTACCATTCCCTATTAGTTTTCTACAGCTACAACCCTCAGAAAGTATATATACCACCAAATGACCTCCGATAACCTCTGATTACATGATTACTCATCAAATGATCATGGGGCAGGTGAGTAATCAGCAAACCATAAAATGAAGAGGTTGCAATTGACCTTTTAGCACTGTACTGGCAAATTTCTGGCTCGGGAAAAAAATTCTATTTTTAGAATTATTTATACATTATATTCAATAACCATAATTTAATGCGCATGGATGAAAATTAATGTAATCTTCTATTAATAAAAATGAAAGGTTTTGTGTAGAAAACACCTGGTGCTCTTAATATTTATTCCATTCATGAAATCCTGGTCTATTGATTATTTCTAGCCCCATTCAAAGGGAAAATGTTTGTTTCTATTTCATGTGGGTGAAATGTACTGTGGTTGCTACTAGTTCTCAAGGGCTCAACCAATATCTCCAAATTTGATGTGATGGAGGACGTGAAGTAAATTTTTTCTTTTTCTGTATTTATTGCAATAATAAACTAAAAAATATACAATTGATAAATTCTTTCTGCTGTTCTTCACCCAAAAGAACATAATAATGTTTATATTTTAAAGCAGGTATAAAATAATATGTTAATACCTATTAAATTAGAATCAGAATCCAGAAAAAATTTTATCTCCAAATTGAAGAAATTAAATTATGGGACACTGTAAGTAGATATTTGTTTTGCTTTTGTTCTGAGATACATTCACTCCTGAAGTTAGAGGGTGCTCTTAAATAGAAGTTGATGTATAATCATAGAACAATATCAAAATATTCTTTTCTGTTTTTTCTTGGTTACTGACACAACTATACAATTGCATAATTGTCTCTGGCTACTAACATTATAGATGACTATCCTACCCCTAGAGGGTGCTATTGAATATAGTTTGTTGTACACACATGAATGACGCTTTAAAAAAATTATATAACGTTCTGTAGAATTGAACATGAAACACTCCTAAATTTAGAGGCTGCACTTAAATATAAGTTGCAGTTTTGGAACTTGGAAATAAATAGTACTATTTCAAACTGGGTTACTACTATATTACTGAACATAAAACAGTCCTAAATATAGAGGGCATTCTTGAATATTTGTCTTTTTCCATTAAACTGAAGTTGAGGAGGCTCTGTGATTGTTAATGTGATTGTAGATTGAAAAGTTGAGATTGTATTGTGTGGTAGGAAAAGCAAATCAGAGCAGAACTATTCTAAATAATAATAATAAGTAATATTAATAATAAACAATAACTAAATATATTTTTCTTAAGTAAAAGTACTGATTAATGTTTCAAAATTATATACCAACTACATAGATGCCAGGCATTTGATTGGTTAAAAGCCGACCAATAGTTCCAGCCATGCCCTCCTAGCTGGTCAATATGCCTACAATTTATGTAGTGGTATATAAAACATACATTTACTGGGATTTTAATTAGGTTGTAGTTCAAATTATAGCCCTTGGTGATCTGAGGCTGTATGTCCCTTGACTTAGACTCATAGTACAGCTTCCAGATCATCTCGAGCTATAATTTGAAACATGCCCCTCAACCCAGTAAATATTTGTGTATTATTACTCCCATACATTTAAAACTTTGGTTTACATATACATTTAAATGATTTGGTTGTCAGGCCAATGTTTTGTTCCCTCACCTCTTTCCTCAATCTCTTTGATGCACATGTCTACGACCATTGGACGTGTTGTGTTGTGAGCCTTGACCAATGTGGTCAGATCAATCCCATAAACCCTCTTGATGAGACGCTTATCTGGCATGCAATCTTGCGGAATCTGCTTACAACATTGCTTATGCACACTCAAACCACAATCTGAAAAAAGACAAGCACTTGAAATTGAACAAAAATACATGATACGTATATGGTACGGCCCTGAACAGCGCCCTCATGTGAGAAATTACATAGTGAATATAACAGATGTTATGCAGAAAGAACAGCTTGAACGTTTCTCTGAAAGATGGTGCGTTATTTAAACAGCCTTTCAGATGAAACAAAAAAAATCAGTGGATGGTATTGAATCAACAACCGAAGAACTCCAGAGTTCAGAACAAAAAGAGTGGCTACCAGAAGTTCAAACGACTAAGGCACTGTCTAGATTATGAAATTTCATTTGACAAAAACATGTGACATACCTAAATATGGTCATGATGACATCACATCATGACCATATATAGGCACATTAATACTATATATGGGCATATAGCAGTTTTTTTGTCAAATAAAATTTGATAGTGTCGACGAAATTTTGTTATGCTGCTCTCAGCAGAGCACTGTCAGATTAAGTTACGTCCGGGTTATTAATTTTCTTTGACCAAAAACTGTTACATGCCTATATATAGTCATAATGTGCCTATATATGGTAATGATGTGATGTCATGACCATACTTAGGCATGTTTTTGTCATATAAAATTTGATAGTCGGGACAGGTCTTAACCAATACTGTATGAAAATACACATAAATTGTTTGATCAGATAAGTTTGAAGCTGGGTATGATCATCAGGCAAGGTCTAGTCAAACATTTCCTGTTATATTAGACAACAAAACATAAGAAAATCAGAAAACAGAAATTCTACTTGTTTTGTTTTTCCAACTTACCTGTACACTTGACCCCTTGAGCAATGAGGCCCCACATAAAGTTACCACAATATTCACACCAATGTAGCCCAAATGTATGCACCTGAAAACAATGAAGAATTAAATTTAATGTTATTATTATATATTGAAATCATTTTCAATTCATTCTGTTCACATGAATAAGACATAAGTCTAGCCTCCAAATGGCAACCTCATCCTGCAATAATTATTAACTTTGTTCCAGGCCCTTTATTCCCCAGTTCAATTCCATTACTGGCTTTGTGTTTTTAGCGGAAGTGTACTGTTTTTCAGATGAGAAAATTAAGCAATTGCTCACAAGTGCAAAATGGTCCATGTGCAACTTCAGAAAAGAGCAGGAGGTTTTCCCCTGGTGTAATGCCCTGTCCACTACCAGGGGTACCCCAATAGTCTTGGTCTTTGGAATTATTCTTGGTGTGTTTCACCAAAACAATCCAATCTAATCCAATCCAATATACAGAACTGGGGCAGATGGAGGGGTGCAATGGTGCTATTGCAACCCCTTAATTTGTATTAAGAAAAATAATTGTTGTATTGTATTGTTGATATATTATTTTTATCACTAAAAATATAGTACCGGTAACATTGTAAAAGTATGAGAGTGCAATTAAGGTCCAAATTCTGAAAATTCCACACACCCCCCTACCACCAAATCCTGCATTTGCCCCAACAGAAATATAAGCTGCAAAACAGATTACTTGAATGAAAACTAATGTATAATTATGGAGAAATCATACCTTAAAGTTGTGAGCTTTTTCGTATTGCACTACGATTTCTTCTGGAGGTATGGACACTATTATCCTATCTGGAGTTGATATACAAGATCCATCCACCTGTAAAATAATTATCAAATTGAAGAATTTATTACAAAAAGAATGGAAAGCACAGTACACTGTCCTATAACTTGCACTTCAGGATTTAAAATTTAAATTCTGGAATTCTATGCCACAATCAGAGGCGTAACGCCTATGGGTTCTTGGTGGGGGAGGGGGGGCGGGCGAAGCCCTGGAGGACCCTTCTATTAATAAACAGCACTCTTCTAACAGAACTTTGACATTACGGTCCAATAGAAGATACCCAAAACCAGCAAATTAAATCAATTTAATGCCACGGTTTTAACTCACATAAATAACTCACACAATGTCTTAAGTGGACTCACACGTCTAAACTTCTTTTACACAAAATACCAATTCCCCACTAAAAATGTTCCACATTTATGTTCACGGCAATTATAACAATACACCACATGCTATGGTATTGTTGGATATTTCACTATCAAGGTGCAAGTGCATGGTGCCCAAACATTTTTTTCCCCCTCCCCGGGCCTGTGTCGCGTTGTTACGCCACTGGCCACATACACTGGTGTATATATATACTGTCTCTTATACACATCTAACTGTTACATGCCTATATATAGTCATAATGTGCCTATATACGGGGGGGGGGGGGGGATTTTTTTACCAGTACTATAGTAGTATTTTATCATAACTTCCTTTATTGTTAAACTTGGCCTGTAGGAAACCTCTTTCCCACGAACCTGGTTACGGGCCTGCTATGTTTGTCTCTCTGAATCCAGGAGAAGTATAAATGTTTGGTCTTAGCCAAATATTTGCGAATAACATAAGTTATAAATATTATCTAGAGAGCATTTATTTTAATGTGCTAAATATCACTGATATTTATTCTTTTATATTAATGATGTTTATTCAGTTGTCAACATGTTTATCATGGTTATCTTACGCAATTTCAATATCAAAATTCCCATTTGCATAATAAAGCTATCTAAATCTTTGTTAAAATAAGCATTTGTTTATTTAGGGGGAAAAAATTATTAAAATATTATTTTGGATACTAACAACTGATTGGTTGTATTCTGGTTTCATCCCATCCTGACCATTTTTGTCAAATACATGGCTCAACTGTCCTTTCTCGCTACTTCTTTGTCGCGGTAATCTTACTGTGGCGTACTTGGAATGTTTATCATAGATGGGTTCAGCATCCATGTCCTTGATATAATCAGCTGCTTTGTCTTCCATGTAGAAGTGGATTAGGCCATCCTCGACCAAGTCGTTCATTGAGTTGAACCTCTTGTCTGCTATGTAGTGCATGCCATCATAGAATAGCTTATAATTCCGTGTCATACCACCGTACCTGTACAGATGGAAATACATTGAATTGGGATTGAAATATTTTCCACAATTTGATTTTAATTTTAAAGGGACTCCTGAATGGTTAAAATATAAGAAAAAAACCACTTCCAACCAGTCAGCTCGATGATGATTTATACCCAATACTGTATAAACAAAGTATCATAATAAATGGATAAAATGGATATATGTTCTGATGATGAGTCCTCTACTGTTTATCATGTTACTGGAAAACAGCGACAGCACTAGGATTTGCCTCAAGGTGGGGTCTGATAATTTCTGAGAGACTAGCTGGGCTTAAGGGAATTACCCGTGAAGATTTAAGGGATAATCCTCTGGCACTTAGAAAAACTGGAAAATTTTGGGCTATGCAGTACTTAAAATGTTTCAAGACATTTTGGCACCATCCCCACCACCACCATTGTGCCATCCTCAAGAAAAATGCTGGCAATTTCACACAATTAAGAAATAACAAGGGGAGTATTCTGTCTTTCTTGAAAATAATTTCAACAGAAGAATCATTGATCAGTTATTATACTTATATCGCATTTGCTAAAAACCACATATATTATTACTGTCAACTTCAAGTATGCAAGAATTACAAATAGTTTAAAGATTACATATGTCATTTTTTCTCGGTTACACATAAATTCTTGAACAAAATTGAATAATTATTATAGAAAAAGTATGTAATGTACTGTTACTAAATTCCATACAGATAGGAGGAAATTTTTTCCTGCCTACATCGCAACACTACTCCCTTGTATTTCTAGATTAAATTATATTACCCTTCTCACCTTAGGCCTAAAGTGTAGCTTCCGGGTGCTCGCTGACTCTCACGGACAAGGTAACTCCCCTCCCCAGCCTCTTGCAGCAGGCAATCAGCAACTTCCCTTGACACGGCTCCATGATATCTAATGTAAAAATAGTGTTTAAAAATCACAATTCAGTAAAAATTACTTTGACTTGTGAAAAATGACAGTCTGGAACCTAATCAGCTTTTATGAATAAATTACTACACACAAGTGGTAAAGTGATGTTTTTAAATTATGGTTAAATAATATTGAAATAGATTACTTAATGGAACTGATTCGTCAATGTTTACAACAGTATCTTTCTATACTGTAGATTCATCATCATTCCTAGCCGATTTATTTATTCTATTCTTTATGTTTAAATATTGATTAATCAAAATAATATTTTACTATAATAATTAAATTATAGATTTAATCAATCATAATTTTTAATTAATTTTATTTAAGTATTTCTTCTGACAATAAATTACTGAAATAGGTCCAGGCAGAACGATTTAACTTATAGTTATAAAAATGAGATGACAATAATTATAATTGAAATAAATAAACAACAAAAATATTCTTAGCAAAACTTTATCACTAGTAATAGAGTACTAGCAGATTATTCGAGGAAACAATAACGCCCAAAGGTGTTTATTCTAAAGGGAGGCATTTATTCCAAATTAGGCTCTGGAGAGGACGTTTATATCCGAGGGAGGCATTTATTTGAATAAATACTGTATATATA